TTGTTTAGATTATCACATTATAAACTTATAATTATTTTTATAATCGATACAAAAATATAAGAATTTAAACCCTCGAAAAACGGTTTGATCTTATTTTTGCACGTCATTTTAGACGCTGGACATTTCTGTTGAACTTCTGATTCATTTATTAGCTACAAAGCATGCAGCTTAATGTCAACATTAATGAAATATTTAAAATATATAAGAATAGTACATTATTTTGATATAAATTGTTTCTATTTAAACTTTCTTGTAAATGAGTAAATTTAATGTTTATATTCATATGCACGTTTTTAATTAATAGCGTTACAGATTCTTATCCTAAAAAAAATATCGCTTTCTTTTTCTTGCCAACATTGAATGTAGAATCACTAATGAAGTCATAAACGACATTATTTGCTCTTGTTTTGTGAGGAAAATGAAAACTCTAGATTCATTTTTGAACACTCTACACAAGAAAAATGCGCGATCCCTGCTTAAAAAATGTAACACGTTACACGCTTAAAATACCCTTTAGCGCGCTGTAAAAATTCTATATTTTGCTTAAAATTATTTAAATGTTATTTTCTGACTGGAATCGGGTAGTTCTATTCAAAACCTATCCATTCATACCAAAATCACCCATATTGCGAGTATTTTATAAAATCACCGATGAGTTTAATAGGTCAGGTACAAAAATTGTAAAATGGCATCAACATCGCTCGTAACGTCTCTAAGAGTCAAATTGTAAAATATTTTTGACAAAAAATCAAGGAAGGAAAATATGTGATTATAACTTACAACCCAATTTTAGACTTTAAATTATGCATATTTTCCCCGACTAATTCCATACTGAAGAGCTTGATCTGAGTACGATCAATTTTTAAACCGAGGCTACTAACAAATAAGTTGATGTTAAAGTGATTTTAAAAAACCCTGTTTGATGTCAGCACTTCGAAAATTCTATGGTCGTTATAATGACCTTGTTAGCAAATATATCCTATCGATAGGTCGTATTTTGACTGGTATACTTCATACCAATTGCTAGACCTCTGTTTTCATTATAATTTAACTACAGAATATTCCGTCTACCTGACCAGTACATAGGGCTCACGGCGGGTGACCGGTCGACAGGGGATTCTTACTCCTCCTAGGCACCTGATCTTAGCTCTGGAATTTCCGGGGGTCCGTGTTGTATGCCCTGTTTACAGATTTGTATTGTTTGTAGTTTTTTGAGATCGATCAATATTCGTTATCTTCACCTTTTTCATATGCAGCCCCATAAAAAATCTTAAAAATGGATACAAGAAAATTTTAATCAATAACAAAATTGTAAATCTAAATTAGTTATTGAAATTGAAAGTTTTACATGTAATTGCACTCAATTTTACTGAAAACTGGTTTTCCAAGTTGGATAATATTGTTAAAGAAACAGATCAAGAATGTTGAGGTTACTAGTATTTGTTCCAGACACTTCATTTAATGAGAGACGAGAAACGGGGTGCTTAATTGGTGTTGTACTGGAATTTACATTCATAGGGCATATTCACGCTTGAACAAGAGTGTTTTAGGTTCTTGCGGAATGCTCCATGTGCTTCAAGCTCTCTAAGTTCCAATGGCAGTGTATTTTAAATTGTGCACCTAGTGTGTTTATGGCTCTTGCACCTTATTTGTTTAATGATTTCTTCACTACTAGTTTCCATTTGTCAGATGATGATCTCAAGGTCCTATGTAGTTGGTAAACAGGTCATAACTCTCTCATGTATGCTGGTGCTGAGGAGGAGTGTAGTGATTTATGTATGGTTGTCAGCACTTTAAACACAACATGTTGTTTTAAAGGCAGCCAGTGTAGTTGTTGAAGTACCGGCGAAATAACATGTTCTTGTGAGACAACGTGCAGCGTTGTTCTGAGCCACTTGTAACCGGTGCATGGTTCGATCGGTTATGCCAAGCAGAAGGGCATTGTGATAGTCAAGGTGGGATATGACTTTGGAGTTGAATACCTTTGCACATGCTTCCTTGGTGAGATGTTGTTTCACCTTGGAGATTCTCCTATTGTTGAAGTACATCTTTCTTACCATGTAGCTGACTTGTGTTTCCATTGACAATGCGACGTCCAGGGCATCACCGAGGTTTTTTTCACAGTAGACTTAGGTGTCACTATTGCCTCACCAATCATTCACACGGTACTGGTTATGGGCACTTGCAACCACCATTATCTCAATTTTAGCATCATTTAGTTTGACTTTGTTCACATTCATCCAGGTTCGGACAGTCGCTAATCACTACTCCATAATGTTGACTTGTGCGGTACGCATGGCAGTGTTTTTACACTCAGACGGTTGAACAGTTGAGTGTTATCTGCGAATCCATGACGGTTTATGGCATACTGTTCGATGACTCTACTGAGTGGGAGAAGGTATACCAGGAAGAGAAGGGGGCCGAGGACAGACCCTAGGGGCACTCCGATGGACAATGGCACATCTGAGGACACACTGGTGTCGATCCTTACTGCTTGAGTGCGACCACTCAGGTAAGAGTATACCCAACGGAGTGCTGTATCCGTCAGTCCAAATTCCTCATGTACTCTCTCCAGCAAGAGGGTATGATCAATGGTGTCAAATGCTGCACTAAGGTCAAGAAGGACCAGAAGCATGGCGTCACCTTCATTACTGCTTCTACGTCTGCTTTTATTTGCAGGATGACTATCTCAGTGCTGGTACCGGTCTTATAAGCTGACCGCAAGTCATCATGCAGACCATTTAACTAGTGCACGTTTCAGCTTATTTGGAAAGACCCCGGCTGAAAGTGATGTATTCATCAGCTCAGTAATGGTCGGCAGCACCACAGAGAGAACAGTACTGTTCTTCAAGAGCGCAGTGGGGATGGCATCCAGTGAGCAGGTCTTATTTGTACAGCTATTGATGACCTTGTTAACTTCCATGTTGAGGCACTGATCTGTACATGTCTGGAGAAGTTGTATTGTCATGGAGATCTGTATCATCAAGACTCTGCCTAATCTGATGAACTTTCTTGTAGAAGAACTGTACAAAATTGTCGGCAAGGGTCTGGTCACTGGTAGCCAGTGGTAAGGGAGTCCCCCTGCATTAAAATTCATTAGACTAATACTAACTCTAAAAGTCTCTTTACCGTCCGCTGTGTTGAGCTTTTCTTCATAATAGCTGGACTTGAAGGAGTTGACCATATGCACCACAGCTCGGCTGTGCTCTGCAAGCATCTATCTATGCACTTCCAGGCCTTACGCTCCAACTGTCTTCTCCGTTGTCTTCATGGATTGAGTCATTGTACCACGGTTTGAGGGAGTCGCCTTTGATGGTGATGGTACAAAGGGGTGCTATGTTGCCTATAGAACCTCTTTTGCTATAGAGTCGAGAGCTGACAGCAGATCATTGACATTGCTCCCCTCTTTGATGGAAGTCAGCGATTCTCCAACCCGCTGTGCCAATATTTCCACAGGGATGCGCTTCAATGGCCTAGCTAGCCGAGTTTTATTTGCCAGATGTAATGGGCATGTGTAGAGTTGGCATGTAACAACATAATGATCTGAGATCCCTATATCAATCACACAGACTGACTTCACTAGTGGGTACATAGGGTCATCCCTTGTGAACACCAAGTCCAGAGTGTGTCCAGCCAGCTGCATGAGTGGGGTCCTCTTCATGTTGTCTGAGGTCTAGGCCAGCCACTATATCCTGAATCGGTTCGGAGTTGGACATGTCCAGTTCGTCATAATGGATGTTCATCTCTCCGATGACATGGGAAGATGGTGCTCCGGTGACTTGATTGAAAACGTGTCTTCAAGCATCTCAAACATGCTCCAGTGCTGCCGAATCATTTGAAAGAGAAGGCCAAGGCATGCAATTGATATTGCTCATGTAAGAATACCATCTACTAGTATGCAGACACACTTTATCCTACTGGAGTATCCTTAATAGAGTCATGACGTGTCTGGAACATTTAAGCAACATGGGCAGTCATAATTTTATCTCTATAATGCTGAGCCATAAGGGCTGGTCATGGAAGTAGAAATTTATAGAGAAATGAAACAGCAGCCTAAACCATAAGATGTGCTCCATCCTGTCTGTCTTCTTCCTGGATACAGAAGCTGGCATAGAGTCCATTATCCGTCTCCAAACTTATTCGATCCTCCGCATAAGCAACACAGAATCGAGATTCACCTGAAAACAATACTCTCAGCAATGTTAGATGAGTTTTTATTTACGCTAAACGTAACATGCAATGGCATTGCGTGAAAATAGGGCCTTGCAAAGACCATTTTCACTCAAACAGCGCCGGACTGTTGATGGGCTGATTATGTAAACCAGAGTTTCTATATCTGTTTAGTTGGTTGTTTTGAGCCGGTCAGGTATCTGTTGCAATTGGATGTTGCGATCTTGTTGGATTGTAGTAACCTTTCAATAACCTGCTCGTCGACGATCACAGACATTTTGTAATTAAAAACCTTTATCTGAGGTATACAATAGTGCTGTGATGGAAATGGAACGAGTCTGCGGCATCTCACACTGGTTATCAAGAGCTTGTGGTGCTCGTTGATGGAAAAGCGAGTTTTTTGCACGCTGCATGAAAACAGTGCACCGCACAGAGCAGGAGTGTTCACTGATTTTCTTTTTGAAAAGCTTACCTGTTTCTTTCATAAACCCAAATTGATGAAAGTGATTGCACTCGATATTAGATTACACAAGCAAGAAGTCGGTTTTTGAATAACAAACGAAAACTGTTCCTTTAAACCTGCTTTCAAAAAAAAAAAAAAAAAAAAAAAATCAGTGAATTTTAATTAAATTCAAAACTTGTACGGCTTTCAAGAGCTCTCTGCTCGACGCCATCAAAATAGTATCTAAGAATATAACTTTTGAGTGCGATTCTTATGAAGGTCAGTATAAGTGAAATTTACAACATAAAGTAACTTCCATCCTAACTCGGATACGAAAACTGCAGTTGTAATATTTCGCATCTTGTAAAGAATCAAAAGATACACTAGCTGTTGTATGAACTCTTGATTTATGCTATTTATAAATCTTTAGATACAGCAAAGTACCAGTAATGGATATCTAAAACATGTAATTATAATTGTAAAGCGTCCATGCACAAGTACATAAAAACAAATTCAGAATAACCAAAAGCTACCCTACATATCAAATGAGCTTGAATCATTATTAATTTCTATTAATTTTGAATTTCCTTCAATATAGGACATTCCAGTATTGCACAAATTACAAGTTATCTTAGATACAGTGATAGATGGTATGCTGATATGTGCTTGTTTTTACACATCAATACGTAAAAACACTCAATGATAAAACCCGTACAAAAATGCAGTCAGAATGAGACCTGCAGCAGCGTTCATATTAAGGACGGTCCGCCATTTTGGAGATTCTTTTAGATACATGCGCGTCATTTCCGGGCCAATGTGAGGATCGTCCTCGCTGTGACTTTTGGTAGGCATACCACAGATCTGATCCACCCAACGTCTCCACAAGGGTCGATCATCACTTGCGTCGTGTATGACATCAATTGCATCATCTGGAATGAAGGGATTTAAGGATACACCAAAGGTTTCCAAATGCCAGAATTTAATTTGCATGTAATTCTTTCATTATCAAAGATAACATAATAAAAGTATATATCATTTGAAAGCTTGTTAAATTTACTATTTAATTATCCTAATTTAAACTTTAATTAATAACTCATTTAAAAATTATTTAAATATTAATGTAAATTGTAGTGAATAAATATTTTATAAATCAACTTTTTTGTATTTAACCCCTTAAAGTGGTAATTTTGCCTCAAGGTAAATTAAAGATTGAACTTAAAAACAGTATCTCAGATTTTTTATAAATCTTCTAATTCAAAAGTTACAGCCATTTGTCCTTCAATGTTAACAATTTATTAGCCTAATTTAACATTCCCCTCAATAATTCCAAAACTAAGCTAGATATCAAAAATCTGAGATACGGTTTTGTGAACACACATTTGAGAAGTAACCCATCCAATTTTCAGAGAAATTGGTCACTAAATAAGGGAGCTGAATCTTTTGAAATAATACCACAAACTGTCTGATCTTACTTTACAGTAGAGGGCAAAAACCCATTACACAACAAAATCTGCCAAAGCTAGGAATATATGACACCTTGGAGATTCAGCTTTGGATACCTGTCACTTAGCCATATTTTCCATGCATATTCACAAGAATGGGAGGTTCTTTCTGTATTTAGATGCTTTTAATTAAGTAAAATAGGTTCAATTCTGAATCAGAAAGATTTCCCGGCAAAATGGCAAGAGCTAAGCTCCACCTCCTATTTTATGGTCATCAGTGATCTGTTAGATCTTCTCTAAATCTAGAGTCCCTGTAGTTTAATTACTGATAACCTCTGTGTGGCTAGTGAAGAATTCCCCAAGTGGTCACAGTGATTTATTGCGTCTTTCATGAGCAGGCAGTCACAGATCAAATCAGAAGCTTCAATAACGGAACATTCACATGTGGTAGTGTTTATGTTTCATTATTGTTAAATAATTAGAAAACCATTTCATAATTACCAAAAATTTTACATGCATTATAAAGCAGTGATTAACTTCTTTTTCTTAGCCAAAAATCTCAAAATTGTTGAAAATCTTGAAAAAAGCCTTTGGTGTATCCTTAAAAAAACATGTTACTTGATATTAAATTTCTCTTTTAAAGCTTGAAAGAGGTACTTCAAGATTTGATGTTTCTTCATGTTCGTTTATGAAAAGTCGAAGAAGAAATTTTTTCGATATTCCATTTAAGGACAATTTTAAAAGAAAAATCATTTAAACAAAGTATACTTTACCTTCATAGTATTTTCTTAGTTTATTACATAACAATTTTATGCACTGGGATAAAATCATCAGAAGTTTCTCACTGCAGTTTGCGATCAACCTCTTGCTCTCTTTTTCGTTGTGTAATATTTTGATTTTTTTTTCTTTTCAGTATTATTTTTATTAACACCTGTCGGATTTTCCTCGTTTTTGTTCACGTTCTCAATAGCTTCAGATTCTTTCTTTTCCTCGGATTTCGTCATTTCCACGTCATTCCTACTGGATTCTTCAACTCGTATTCTTGTAAACCATGTAACACCTTTCAACTACAACGATTAAATTTACTTATTATTCATAACTACATGTATTATACTCTTTGACACTTTTCAGGATTACATTGGAAAACCTCAAATTAACATTCTGAATTAAACTCTACCATTTAAAATTAAAGCTTAGACTAAATGTATGTATTCACCAACTTCAATCAAATTTTACTTACTTATAATGGTCAACTTTAAAACCACTTGCAATAACATTTTTCATGTTTTACGTACATGGATAGTGAACTCACTTGTTCTTCGGTGCGGGGTGTCGTCAGAAGGCTTATGATAATAATGGCAGTTGAAGTAATGACGATCATCAATGCTCCGAAGTAGGTGTAGTGAACATTCAGTAATATACCTGGTCGGGTCTCTGGTTCTCCACAGTCGGGCGCGGGATACGCTAAATCTATACCCATCCTTATGATACCGCACGTGTGGCCAATAGCTATCCCCCAGAATGCACCCTGAATAACATAGGATGCAAGTTGCATGTATATCTATAAATCATTCAGCCTTGATTAAAGGGGCCTAGGCAAAGTTGCATTGTTTACAATTTAAATTTCTATTTTTATTGAAAAAATAAGTTCAGCTGAATGATTTGAAATTAGGCTAAATAAATATTCTTAGAACTCAACGACAACGACATTCCTCAAATTTACATCCACTGAATATTATCGCCTTTATTTCTTTAGAAAACCACTGCCGTTTATCAATCAATAAACACTACTAAGAATATAACCTCTACAGATTTCTTAAGCAGAGGCTGTTCCATCAATGAAACGTACAATGACGTACATATCAATAATACACTATTTCATCTACTAAATCCTACTTCAAATCATTATTTTTACAGATATAAATATAAACAATGAAATGTCTTTCTTTGTTTGATAGTACAGGAATTAACGTTGCAGCTATTGCAGAAAAAAGAATTACATAACTCGCTAACGCGTTATGCATTTTTTCTGCAACAGCTGCAACATTAATTCCCATACTAACGACCAAAGAGGGCATTTTAGTGTTTAAATAACATCAAGTCAAACATCGGTGTTTGTTAACAGGGCACAAATTCTGTTATTGTTAGTTTTTACGTTTTAACGGATGTGTTCAATTTGTTTAATCAGCACACATCACTGAGCACGGACTGACAATACTGGTGAGTTGGTTCTGCTCTCTCGCATTTCTACTCTGAATTTTCTGGATTATAGTTTTCATATTTTTTACATAAAAGTCATTTATAACATGATATTGAAATTTTTAGAAAATATGAGCTTCAAATCTGTGTCCAAGCCCCTCTGTTTAAAGGGAAAGATTATCTAAAATTCTTATATCCCCAAAACAAAAGAAATGGTTTGTCTACACGTTCAATGGATTTTTACCATTAGACATGTATTTAAAAAAGAAGACTTGAACAGGACCATCGACAGATGCCATGAGCAAGTATCAGTGAACGTGTATTGGAACTATGTCCCTTTTGGCATCGTTATCGATAACCGGTGATTTTGGGATACATAAAAGACCTTACCTTGTTAATAAGTAATAATTGGTCAAAATACTTAATATTAAAAAACTATACTACAGAGCACAGGCACTAGAACCCCTACTTTCTCTTTTCACAAAGTAACTAATTCAATATAAGGCACCTCCACTTCTTTAATTTATCAATCATTAACTAACTCTAACATGACATTGTTCACTTCAAGAGACTATTTTCTTTTCTAATAAATCATTCTAGATGTCCTTCGTCGATCTTCTTTATTGGTAATCGCTCATTTAACCCTCGGAAATTGTCTCAACACATTTTAAGACTTTACAGAAGATACATCAACTCCCGGTAGGGATATAGAATAAAAACCCGTGAGTCTTGTATTTAAAATCAAACACAACAATTTCATACATCTTATGACCTGAAATGTTATCGGTTATCTAAGTACCATACACATTTAAAAATTCATTTTTCCTTTACGAACTAGAGACATTAATGTAAAACATTTATTTGAATTATTTTACTCTCTAAAGTAATGTTTTCCGGATTGGGAAATTTCTCCATTGATTTGTATCCTTCGCTTAGTCAACTTGATATTTTTTAAACAGGTCATGATCAATGTTTATTGCCTGCCATGTTAATAACAATAAATACTTGAAGAATAGCAAGAACTAAAGCTTATCAATTTAATTATTTTGAAAAACGATCAGAAAATCGTTACAACAATTTTGCACACATTCAATACTAGATATCTCGAATGATGTTGTATTTGAAAAGCTTTATTTAGCCTTTCGCTTAAACATTTATCAAAAAAAAATGATGTAGTGTTTTAACTACTTGATCATACTTACGTGTTCCGTCATCCTTTTCCACATAACACCGATGAAGAAGAGCGCCCCTATCGGCGTTCCCAGGTAACCCTGCACGGCCTGGATGTAATTAAAAAGTTGTCCCCCTTGAGAAGATCGCACGAGAGGGATCCAGAGAATACTTACACCACAAAGAAACACGATGAAAATCCTACATAAAATGTGAAAGAAAAGATAATAACTGAGACCGCATTCAAAGAGCGACATACTATTGTACTACTCTTATTACTGAATTTCTTTGGAAACTTCTATCATGAAGCATTTTCATTCTAGATAGTCCTAAAAATTTAAGGCATACATTAAAAGTATTGAATCTATAGAGCCGTTTTTGGAATGTCAGTAAACGGTCCTCCGATTCCAGAAGTTCTGGGTTATAATTGGTGAAAAGTCTCGAACAATGAGGCAAACAAAATACTAAGAGTTTCTGAATTGAGCTCAGAAAATACCTTCCAACAATGAGTAATTCTCGTTCATGGGCATGTGGGCGCATGCGTCTCCAGAGGTCCATTGTAAAGATTGTGCTAGAACTGTTAAAAATTGAGGTCAGCGAACTCATGATAGCTGACAGCATCACCGCCATTAACAAACCACGGACACCTAGATGTTCAAAGAAACAGAAGACAGTTTGTAGCTTGCCTTTACTATGAAATGTGACAATAAAATTGTATTAAGAGCATGTAATTCTTGTATGTCTTTCCCCAAAACTTCTACTGTGGTCCAGTGTTTACATACCATATGGAAATAGTGTTTGTTTTTTAACAGTCCCATTGAGAATTTTTCACTCATACAGAAACGCCACCACATACAGGCGGAGGGCTGCAGATTTAGACCTTTACTCGGAACTTACGGCCATTGAGCAGTGAGGGATCTTTTTCGTGCCAGCTACCTACTGCGACACGGGACCTCCATTTATACGGTAGGCAGTGGGATTCGAACCCGCGACGCAGGAAAGTAGTGTCAGATCCAGTTTAATATTTACATACCATAGGGAAGTAGTATTAGATCCAGTCTAATGTTTACATGTTATCATAGAAAAGCAATCCCAAAACCAGATTAATGTTTACATACCATAGGGAAGTAGCTCTAGAACCAATTTAGGGTAGGCGATGTTGGAGCAGCCTACTGGATTGTCACAAAATTTCTTGCATTCTTCTGGATCAACACAGGCTACTTCATCTGAAAACAAAACAAATACGAGATACGTGAAGCAGTTTTTATTGCTTTTATGGCAAATTAGTCTTCTCTGTGATAAAGATGAGCCAGAAAAGCAATACAAGTAATGAAGTACATAATTTCTTTGTTTGTTTTGCCTTCTCATTTTAGATCCGGGTGTCCCTTACCTGGAAATAAGGCTCTACTGATCATCCCTGGAAAGATCATCATAAAGAGTGGCAGCAGTTTGAGATAGCCCGCCAGTATAGAGGCACCCTTAGCGTGGGACAAATTCCTAGCACCTAAAGACCGCTGAACTATCACCTGAAATACAGTTTGTTGTCGATCATATAACTACACTGTACCTTTATATCTGCATTTATTCAGATATTTTTGTTTCTCCATGTATTCATCTCACATCACCTGATCACAACACCAGTACCAGAGACACCCAAGGCTGGATTGTAGAATAAGTCCTGGCCAAGGGTTATCTCCCGTTTCTGCGTCTCGAAAGATGTGAAAAGCATCGCTCCTGGGAAATCCGCAGGTACTGTTAGAATTCCTGATGGATGGTATAGCCTCCATGTATCTCTGTTGTAGATTGTTGTATCCACCGATTTTATAAAAACCTACAAGTCCATTCAGACGTATATACTATCTGTTTGTTAAAAGCTTACAGGCTAGAGGCGAAGGCATTTTTTTTTCGTAAGGGGGGTGTTTAGAAGGCACATCCTTTGGAGAGGGTGAGGGCAACACCGATCCTACATTTTTAGCTAACCTGAGCCGAAGGCTCAAGTGAGCTTTTCTGATCACTTTTTGTCCGGCGTCCGTCTGTCTGTCCGTCTGTCTGTAAACTTTTAACATTTTTGACTTCTTCTCAAGACCCACTGGTCCAATTTCAACCAAACTTGCCACAAAGTATCCTTGGGTGAAGGGGATTCTAGTTTGTTCAAATGAAGGGGCACGCCCTCTTTCAAGGGGAGATAATAAAGAATTAGTGAAAAATTAATAGCATCTTTTAAATATCTTCTTCTCAAGAACCACAGGGCCAGGAAAGATGAAACACATGTGGAAGCATCCTCAGGTAGTGTAGATTTAAATTTGTTCAAATCATGACCCCTGGGGGTAGGGCGGGGCCACAATGGAGGATCAAAGTTTTACATAGAAATATATAGGAAAAATCTTTAAAAATCTTCTTCTCAAGAACAGCAAAGCCATGATGTCATATTTATATAGGAAGCATCCGCAGGTAGTGTAGATTCAAGTTTGTTCAAATCATGACCCCCGGGGGTAGGGCGGGGCCACAATGGAGGATCAAAGTTTTACATAGAAATATATAGGAAAAATCTTTAAAAATCTTCTTCTCAAGAACAGTAAAGCCATGATAAGTCATATTGATGTGGAAGCATCCTCAGGTAGTGTAGATTCAAGTTTGTTCAAATCATGACCCCCGGGGGTAGGGTGGGGCCACAATGGAGGATCAAAGTTTTACATAGAAATATATAGGAAAAATCTTTAAAAATCTTCTTCTTAAGAACAGCAAAGCCATGATTAGTCGTAATTATATGCATCCTCAGGTAGTGTAGATTCAAATTTGTTCAAATCATGACCCCAGGGGTAGGGCGGGGCCACAATGGGGGATCAAAAGTTTTACATAAGAACATATAGAAAAAATATTTCTTCTCAAGAACAGAAAAGCTATGTTTAGTCATATTGATATGGAAGCATCCTCAGGTAGTGTAAGTTTGTTCAAATGATGACCCCTGGGATAGGGAGGAGCCACAATGGGGGATCAAATTTTTACAAAGGAATATATGGAAAAAATTTTTTAAAAATCTTCTCAAGTACAATAAAGCCATTTGTTACAATGACATGGAAGCATCATCAGGAAGTTTAAAATTCAAGCCCCCCCCCCCCCCCCCCCGGTAATCATTTCAATACTGAACTGATTTGTGCTTTTGCCTAGCCAATGTGCTCAGGTGAGCGATTTGGCCCATGGACCTCTTGTTAAAAGAATCTGAGCATAACCTGAGAACATAACTCGTCATAATATTACAGTATTGAATTTTATAATCCCACACCATAATTATTATATCTATGTAGTCAAGAAAACTCTTGTTTGTCAGGAGGTAAAAATGATGTTAAAATGGCCACGGCCATGTTGCCTCATACATATAATACTTAACATCTCCAGATATTTTCAGTATATATTACGTAGCATATATAGTAATGCTTGCACTTATGATCTGCTGTCAAAAGAGGGCATGTGCCTCCTACGCTGAACATGAAATTAAACATAGTTGACTTACACTCAGCAATTATGCCATACTTCCGGAAATTATTTTCGTCCTCAAGTTTATAAACACAGATGTCACTTACTGATTCCGACCAAAGCAAACGATCCCAGCGTCATAACGACTGTTTGTAGAGTATCCGTGTAGATGACTGCTTTCAGTCCACCTAGTGATAAAAAGAGTAGATTATCCATCTAACTTTCAGAATTGCATGGTTTGCATTGGAGATTTGGATTTGTTCATGCGCATTTCGAATTTTTGGAAAAATAAAGAAACCTATTGCAAGGTTTCAATATAAATCGCCTCCATTCTTTTCCTATAAGGCAATTATAAACGCAAGGTACCGTTCACAGTAGCTCAGTCGGTAGAGCGCTCGCTCCGTGATCGGGAGGTCGTGAGTTCGCATCTCGGCCGCGACAGACCTAAAAAATAGGTAGCAACTGTTCCTTCGCCATGCGCTCGGCACTTTGAAGTGAAAGTTGCGGGTCCTTCGGATGAGACCTTAAAAACCGAGGCCCCGTGTCACGGCAGGCGTTGGCACGATAAAGATCCCTCACTGCTCAATGGCCCTGAGTGCCGAGTAAAGGTCAAAATTTGAAGCCCTTCACCGGTATATGGTGACGTCTCTAAATGAGTGAAAAATTCTCGAATGGGACGTAAAACAATATACAATCAATCAATCATAAACGCAAGGTCGACATGATGACTGAGCAATAGGCAAAACGCTCGATTTGTGAGATCGCAAAGGTAATCAAAGTACTGTGAGTACTGATAGACGGTGGCATGAATGATTTTGTTTGATTGTTGTTTGTTTTAATTAAAACGTCCCTCTCGGGAATTTTTCACTCATAATGAGACGCCACCATTGCCATTGGTGGGCTACAAATTTTATATCTATACTCAGCACTCGGGGCCATTGTGCAGTGAGGGATCTTTTTTTCTGGCAAGCACTTACTGCGACACGGGACGTCTCATCCGAAGGACCGGTCTCCACGTCCCGCAGTGGGATTCGAACCCGCTACCTAAGGATCGACTCCTTACTCCTTGACTCTAGGCCAAACGCTCTAATTACTGGCCACTGGCATGAATGAATTAAATTAAATAAAATGATATGAGAATCTGTAAAATGATATGCAAATTATGAAAGTTTGTTGCAATTTTTCACAATACATGTATTTGATGAGTTATTTTATATTAGTTTAAAATATATTTATTCATTACAAATGAAACGGATTGAACAGCAGGCATAATGCCTATAATCGTTCTCTCCATAGGTCAAGGTACATATATATAACAATTATTGATACATTTAACATTGAAAAACAATATGTAAAATAGATAGATCATTAATTGGTACATATATAAGGTGAATCCAGAGAAAGAGAGAGTAAAATAAAGAGAAAAAAACATAATAAAGTACATTTAACATATTGAAAAGCAGTATGTAAAATAAACCATTAATTGGTACATGTATAAAGTGAATGCACAGAGGGTGAGAGAGAAAGATTAAATAGAGAGAGAGAAAGACCATATTAAATAAAAATAAATAAATAAATAAAAAAAAACAACACACACATAATAAAGTTGACTCAGAGTGGAAAAATTTCCTTAACATACCTAAAATGAGATAATATTCTTCCTAGCATATCATGATAAACTAAGATTTCAGTGAAAACCTGTTTGAGTTTCTTATAAAGTTATGTACATGATTGAAAAATGAAAAGTTGTCTTCTAAACATAAGGATTCAGCACCATATAGTATATTATCTATATTAATTGGTATGCCATTTTCATTCATATATTTAATCAGCATCTGTCTTTGAAGAACATATTGTGGGCAATACATGAAAAAATGTAATGAATCTTTAGTTTGGTATCCACAATTTGTACATTTTGGTGAATCATTAAGGTGGTCTTTAAAAAGATCAGCATTAAGATTACTACATTTATTTCTTAACTGACAATTTAGTATATTTTCAATTCTATTCCCATAATTGTACAACTTGACTTTATTTTTCTGGATGAGATTGGTGTAGGTTAATCTTTTTTGAAATTTTGCAATGTAGGGGAAGTTCTACAATCATCAGGTAAATTATTCCATAAAGATATTGTGGATGGTACAAAACTATTATAGTAAGACACTGTTCGAGTGATTGGGATACGATATGAGTTTGGGTTGCGTAAATTATAATTATGCTGAATTGGCATACATCCTTCAAGCATATTATACATGTATTCAGGGGTAAGATTATTAAGGATTTTATACGTCAGTGTGAGCTTATGCTTTTCCCTTCTTGAACTTAAGGTTTCCCATCCCAACTCATAATATAGGTTAGTTTTGGATGTATTGCACCTAATGCCTGTAATTATTCTTGCAGCTTCCACCTGAACACTTTCCAGTAATTTGGATTGTTCTTCAGTGCAATTATCCCATATCACATTCCCATATTCTACATGATAGATATATTTTGATTAACAAGTCCCTTTTTAATTCATATTTAAGTGTACGCAATATATTTAGTCGTAAGCAAGCTTTCTCATAAATTGTTGTAATATGTTCGGACCACCCCCCATTAGACTGTAATGTCAACCCTAGATGACAGTGACTTTGATTCTGAGAAATACAATTCATTGTGTTCCCAAATGAGATATTTGGGTGTACTCGTTGAGTTTCTGGTAAAATTAACATTTTTATATTTGCATCAGTATGATGAGGACATGTATTAATTGAAGTTGTTAAACAATTTATTGCATGAATTTTTCTACATTTATTTAGTTTTATTATAAAATAATGTTTGAAGAAAAAAAATGCGCTGAAATGCCAGAAACGAAAGCTTGATCATTTCAATTTTTTTTTCCATTAATTAATCCTTAAAACAATTCATTTTACCCTAAATGTTAAATTAAGGGAATCAAAGGTTGTAATATATTCATGTGGTGACCGATCATATTTATTTTAAGATAGCTTTCTATACATGCATGTGTGGTTCCATTTAGGAGCTCTTCCAAGTTAGATGTGCATTTTTAGCAGAAATTTGTTTGAGATATTTGAGGAACAATTAATAAACCTATTGTGAGTTGCAGATATGAGCGAGTATCAGTAAATTCCGAATTCATTGTACTTTCTTCGCATAATTTAATTAAAAAAAATTATCATGCGTACATTTCAGCGATATCAAGTATCAAATGAAAAAGTTAAATTTTACAACAAAAAGTGTCATGAAATCGTGGTGTTTTGAAGTTAGAAATTGTGATTTTATCATATAAAATCTTATACTCAGTGGTTAATTATCAAATTTTGCTTATCTGGAATAAAATTGAACTCACAATATTTTTTTTTAAACAAAAACTAACTTTTCTTAAAATATATGGTGAAAAGGGAAATGATGAATCACTTTTGGCATTGTACTGTAGATTGTGCGACATAAATCATATGCTGAAAGATAATGAAATAGACTTTATCTTTGGATCCCCATTTTTGCCAAATTTCCAGTAATTTACTTATTTCTGTAAGGTTGAGAGACTTCGAGAATTGTACAGTAGTTTTACCTTTTTGTTTGATATATATATACTGTTCGAAAAAAAAAAGAACAGAATAACAAAATATCTTTCACCCTCTATTTCTCTTAATATCTTAATATGCACTGACCCCGCTAGTCAAGTTTTGAAAACACATGTAGGAGAAGACTGCCCCATATTAAGTCAACTGAATTCGCAAGAAAATCCTAATATTTCATGTACATGTATTGTGTAGCTTTTTTCTTACACTTTTTAAAGGGTAAATTTTATTCGAGGCACGATAGAATTTTCAAATACAAATGAAATATATGGGTAACTTTTGTTCGTCACAGTCCTATAATTACAGCTTTGATAAATTAGCATCCTTTCAGTAGTTTCTGTGTCCGAGATAATTAGGCAATGACTTTTGGTTTTAGATAGAACCGTAATAAACTTTGCAAAATGGCATCGTATCTGCCTTCAACAACCCTCTTTTATGTAAACTTTAAGAGGACGTGATTTTTTTTTCCATTCCGAAAATAGATCGTTTTCTAATAGGTATCGTCAACAGATACTAGAAATTCAAATAATCAAAAGACACGTAAAATTTCAATAAACTGTATAAGTATTATTGTATAAAAATTCCACAAAACGTCTCAAATAAAACATTTAAAGGCCGAGGTTTTCAACCCGTCGGTTTTCCTCAGGTAAGTTTGTTGTGGGGTGGAGCTTAATTGAAACGGCTGTGAAGCCCCGAGGGAACCAAGCTGGCTTGTGTATACCTACCTATATACGCAGGATGTTACCTGTATATTACCTGTAAATGTTTACCTAAGACATAGTTTAACTTCGGGTGTTGGTCAATCGAAATGTTGATCGTCAAATTTATGAAATAAAACATGCTAAAATTGTTTATGTAGACTGATTCCTTTAGTTCAATTCTTTTTTAAAAATATGTTTGAATAAAGGAGACAATTTTAGTTTAATTGTGTGCGTTAATAAATTTCATGCAGTTCTGCAGCAAGGAATACGCAGTCCTCGAATCATGTTAACTGAATTTTCGGAAATGGAGAAATTTGGGGATCGACGCTTTCCAAGCATGGAGTATCTCGTAATTAGGGAATACCAAATTGGGAAACATCTCGTAATAAGCGTTTGTCTCACATCCAACAGCGAAGAAACCGCCGAGAGTGTGTTGGTTTAACAATAAATATTTTATTTCCTAAGATGGTAAGGTGTAATGTGAAACCATTATCCATAAATATTTTCCCCCAGATTTTTTTTTTTACTTTTAATAAATTTTATGGAAATTTTACATTTACACAACGTAAAAAAGGCCGAACTGACTTTCTGCATTTGTTTCATGTTCAGCAAACTTTATGTACGAGTTGACTTCTGTAGTTTGCATACGAATTGACTTCATATGTACGAATCAGTTTTTGTACGAATTAACATTAAGTCGGCGTAATTTAATGAATATTCATGAGGCGAGAAATATTATAACGGCAAATATCAGGAATTAAACTTTGCGCCCATCAACAAAATGTCATTGAAATAACTTGAGAACCATGTACATTTTATTTTCGAACATCGAAACGACCCCACTTTCATTATTTTGTCTCTGCAAAAATCGCCGCTAGGGTCCCCGTGATTTTACACTGTTGTTTATTCATCGCCCAGACCAGCAGCAATAGCCTGTGGCTATAAATAGCCACCGTCTAAAAACGAAAACGCGAGGCTAACGATTAACGAATCCACCCCCTACTAATGAGTTTGGAATCTTTTATTTTCGGTGTTCTGCAAATTTTAATACCCGATGAAATCGCAGTAGCTCTGACGAGAGATAGCGAGACTACAGCGAGATAAGGTAAATTATTCACGGAAATGTTCATTTTCTAGTTAACAACGGATTAACAAATTACAAATGCCCCTGACATCTTTCTTAGTTTCTAATCTTTGTTTTGTTTTGTTTTCATAAAAACAATATTCTTTTTCAATTGGTTTTTGCAGTCCATTTAATATCGGGTCGTAAATTGACCTGAACCACGTGTTCGAAGTAAAATGTAAACATGTAGTTGTCAAGTAAACGTGGTATGAACCGCTGTGCGCAATAATAAAAATAGCCATAGAAGGTAAACAAAGGTTGGTGATTTTTTTCTATCTGCGTATGGGCGATTTTAGAAAAAAAAATTCGCAACTGAGCTCGAACTTTCGCCGTAAATTTTCATAAAAGCGAAGATTAGGTAGATTGTAATCCCCCCCCCCCCCCTTCCTTTTTAGAATCATGAAAATTTTTTCAGAAAGGGTTTTTCATAGGACACGATTTTAAAAGAGACAGACTATAGCAATTTCCGGTTTACTACCAATTTTATTTATTAAACCGGATCTACCCTATAACCTTTGAATGGGTCAACCTACACCACGTGTCTTGAATTTAAATCACAATGACATTAGTAGGAGTGGAATCTAGAACATGACAAATAGCTACAAAACAGGAATATAGAGGCGATAACTGCGGAGAAGGAGAATGTTAGGGCGACAATTCGTTCTGCGTTTAAACCTATCCATGTAGGCGCGTTTAAACGAGAACGAGTGTGGCCTCAACCAATTCTCCATAATTTAATAACGTTTATTCAAATCAAATAACTTTAATGCAAGTTTAACTGAACAGGTTTATAAACATAAAACATTATCTTCAAAAGAGTGCCTAAATAATGTCTTCCATCAGAAGACAATTTCTTTATGGACTTACATTTTCTACATGCACAAGACATTGTATAAAAGATCAAGAAACGAGTAGACTTACCGAGTATGGTGTATATACCCGTGGTGACTAGGAGAGCCACGATAGAGACGTACATATTCCACCCGAGTGCCAGCTGTATAAACAGAGCGCCAGCAAATATACTCACCTAAATATTATAAAAAATCATAAACTTAATAGAGTTTCTGTCATATGAAAGTATAAACCAGTACACAAATCTTGCATGGGAAATATACGAGCAATATGCAAAATCGTTCAAATCAAAGAATTTCAAAATTAAAAATGAACTGGCTCCAAGCTGTCTTCTGTGTAATACGCAGACCAACGAGTCGACAAAACGGATGGATAAAGTTCACCGCCACGGCACATGATACGCCGTCAAATGATTGTGCATGGAAGCAAATCATTTCAATCTTAGTACAAAGATCTCTCAAAGATCCATTCACAATGCTTGATGTGCATCTGCTATGCTGCAGTTAACAAATACTTCAAATTAAGCATCAGTTCATGCAGTAGGACAATCTCTATTTAGACATAGTTTTTTATAATTACCTTTAGTTAATTAAAGGTCATAGTAGCCTTCAACCTAAGATGCATTATTTGATGATCTGAGGTGAAATAGTTTTCAACATAAGAGCTGGACATGATTTTCTCATATTTGGCCACATCATCTTAATTTAAGGCCATAGTGTCCCATTTTTAATGTGCAACACGCCTTCTACCAAAGAAGTACCAGCTGACAAAGTTTGATTATTATAGGAATCATAGCATTTAAATTATGAGTCAGATACGGAAAAGCTAACAGACGGACAGACGTAAACGCCATTCCATAATACGTCCCATCTTAAGACGGGCGTCTAAAAACCGCTTAATTATAATTTTTTTATACAAAAGTTTAAATTTACCGCCAGTTTGGTTACGATATAGAGTATAAGAGCCAGAACACTGAGGTATATCCGAATCCGGTGCCCGCCAAATCTCTTCTCCATGTATTCGGGTAAAGTGTATACCTGAGAAGAAATGTTAGTACACATGCAGTCATTATTGTTGAAAATTAATCAGTTGTATTCCTGTATTCATCAGAAAAAAATAAGTAGGAAAAGATATTAAATGAGTAAAATATTTTTGCTTTAAAAAAAATTAAACATTGAAATCAAAGTAAAAATCCCTTCATATTAAGGACAACATATCATACGTTAGCTGTGTTTTATCTATATTTCGCCTCCATTAGTCTTTTAGATGTTTGTTCATTGCGTCTTTAGATCTATGGTTTATCTTTGTAATGTTAAAAATCTTACTCCTGCAGAGATGTAGACCGGAAGGAAAAGCCAAGCTAAAAGTAACACCAGAGGCATACTCTGTAAACAAATCGATAACAAAGTAAACAGAAGTAAACATAAACATATAAAATGTATAGAGTTTACATGGGAACTCTAGATCACACCTAGACTTCAATGTCATAAAATTTACAATGCTTTTTCTCCTGATTTATTCATGGCACTTTTAGCTGTTTAGTTATGCGTAATCAGATATGTTGGATAATTACCGCCCATTCATACGATATCATGGCGATTCCTGCAGCAGCACCTGTCCCCGCCAAACCCACAAAGTGCTCGCTGCCGATGTTACTCGAGAATAAGGAGGCCCCCACCTGTTTTTCAGAATAAGCATTATCACTTTAACTGATAACTGAAATATATAATTTTTATTGAATTAATTTACTACGATTAGAAAACAAATGAAAAATATCCGAGAAAAGTACACATATCTTTGTTGGATTTTAATACAACTTGTAGTACTTTTTTCTCATAGATTACGTCTGGAGAACAACTGTAAGCATTGCAGGCTGATTTGATAATTAATTAAATGAATATAATCATATATGCGTGCACTCACCGGAAACCACGTCAGACTTCTTCCCGCCAAAAAGTAGCTGTTGACACTTCCCCTGTTCCCTCGGAAAACGGTCTATAAACAGAGGACGTATTTCAATAATTATCTTTCCCTCACGGAAAAAAAAATCATAATTATAAAATAATGTCTGACTTACCCATAGTCCTACTCCCAGTACACCAACAAAATAAATTATCACCACAACAATATCCGACCAGTGGTCCAACCCTCGGGACGCCATGACTAGCTCAGCACTGACCAGTGTATTATAAAGCTCGGCACATGATTTGACCTCAATCACTAATTGTTTAGTTTAACCTCGGAGAAAGTTTATCTTGGTGTAAATGAGCTCTTATCTTGGATGCAGCCGAAGGAACTTCAATCGGCACAAAACCCGTGAAATTTGGAGCAGATTCATTTGTAGATAGAAGAGCCAGGGTTGTGTTCTAGTTTTAAATCTGAATTTACAATCAGCAAAAAAAGAGATAAGTAAGGCATGTATATGAACGCGCGCGTCTCTGCTGTGTTTACCTTCATTTTTTATTTATATTGGGCAAGCTCTTCACGAATTTATCTATAGATACTAAGGAATTCATTTAAATTATTGTAAGTACGTTTTGTTGATAAGCATTTATTTATCAAAGTGATGCGTTACAAGTATATTGAAATTAATGAAGTAAGTTTTTGTTGATGAGCATTTATTTATCAAAGTGGTGCGTTATACAAGTATCAGTTATTTTTGTGACAGAGATCTGCATGAATTACAGTTATAATAATATAGAATTAATGAATTAAGAATCTAATTGAGGGTCATATATATATATATATATATATATATATATATATATATATATATATATATATATATATATATATATATACAGAAAATTTTTAGCATTCAAGGCTAATGATTTATGTTTATCTCAATAAGTTTAACAACATTTCTTCCCTTCCATTTAAGAATATTCACTTTTATTTGTTCTATGAAGTTTCAATACTATCCAATGCATAGAAAAGAAATCTTTTTCAATTGATAGATAAAAGGTTAATTTTTTAAGGTAAGACAATACATTCATTCTAATTTATTACAAACTTAATTTACTTATTATTGGAAATGTATGGAGTAACGCCATCAGAAAGTATAAATGTACTTTCACTTCTTCTCAACCTTTTCATTAGTGTTGTCACGATGATCGATTTATAATCGATAATCGATCGGAAAGGCGGTCGATTTTAGACAATCGATTGGAGTATTAAACAATCGATTATAATCGGTATATTACAGCACTTATCTTTTTATTGTTTTCTCACTTTTATTTCAAGAAAAAGTTCTTGTTATAAATATATCTCTTCCATATTTATCTTCCAAGTGTTGTCATTTACCATTTTTACATACTAAAAAGGGTTTAAAATGAAAGTAGGTTTCCTTACAGATAAGACAAGTACAACTATGTGTTTGAATTTGTAAAAATTGATTGTAAGATAATAATGGAATTTGTATATCTAAACTGAAGAAACTAAAAACTGCATGTATTAAAATAAAATATATTGGTTATCAGTGTTTGGGGAAAATCACCTTTCATGTCGTATGAAATCACATGGATTTGCAAATTTAAATGTCTAATAACAGTTAATAAATTTAATTCCATATTTTAGGTAACCATAAAATATTGATTAAAACTCTGTCAATACTTAATTTTTTACCAAGGTCAAGTAAATCCTAATCATGCAAAAATCTGTATTACTGAAATTGTTAATCAAACTGCAAATTTTAATCTGTATAATACACAATACTTACATTATTATAAAATTTAACTTTATTTTATATAAAATTTAGTGCCTATGTTATACAATGGTTACCGATACGATTATTGACCGATGATCAGTTGATTAGAGTCAACCGATAATGCCGATTAATCGATTATGATTTTCAACCGATTTGACAACACTACTTTTCATGAAAAATAATATTTGAAACAGAAAAGTATTTTTTTTTCTGATATTCCAGCCTTACATGAATGTATTTTTTCGAAACAGTAATTTACTAAATATGGGTAACTTTCATTTCAGGAGTGAAAAAAATCTTACTCTCATAAAGAAAGTCTGATACTACACCATGCCCACATACTTTATTACAAGGCCACCTTTAAAAAATTGTCTGTTTGTCCTCTCTGGACAGACTAGCTAAAAATGGCCTGATTCAAAACTTTTTTAAACCTCTAGTAAACGATATTTTTTTTATTCATTCCAAAATTTTCTCATCCCGTCATCAACTATATTTTAATTGTATAATACCTTCAATTTTAACAGGGTTTGAAAATTCAGTACATGTATATTGATTTGAAAATTTTTGCCCATCTATCTACCGACCCATTTTTTTCTTGAGTCGGGAGAGGGCAAAAAGACATTATTTTAAAGGTGGCCCAAATTATTTATTTTGAAAAATCTCTTCAATTATTTGTATGATATTTAAGAAAATTAAGGAATCTGCAAAGCAACCAAAGTTGTATGTTGTGTCATGTGTGCTCAAACAGTTGCTTAGGACCTGACAAAGAATGAACAGTGTTCGGGGTGCAGACAACCGTGATATCCCTTTATGTGTACACCATAAAAGCAAACAAAAAGGTAAAAGCATGCTTTCCCTTTTCTCTACAATTTAAGATCATTTTCCTTATGTAAAGTTTTTTTCCTTAATTACCACGATTTTTCAAAAAAAATAAATAAATAAAATAAGCTCGAAATAAATAAATAATCTTCGAAATCCGAACAATTTCAGCACACAATGAACCTTACGGTACATATATAGTTTATTTTCAAGGGATTGATTGATTGTATGTTGTTTTACGTCCCATTCGAGAATTTTTCACTCATATAGAGACGTCACCATATACCGGTGAAGGGCTTCAAATTTTGACCTTTACTCGGCACTCAGGGCCATTGAGCAGTGAGGGATCTTTATCGTGCCAACGCCTGCCGTGACACGGGGCCTCGGTTTTTAAGGTCTCATCCGAAGGACCCGCAACTTTCACTTCAAAGTGCCGAGCGCATGGCGAAGGAACAGTTACTACCCATTTTTTTATCGACTTAGGTCAGTCGCGGCCGAGATTCGAACTCACGACCTCCCGATCACGGAGCGAGCGCTCTACCGACTGAGCTACCGTGAACGGTATTTTCAAGGGAATAATAATCAATAATATCCCAGTGAAAGTTGTATCTCTTATCAGAGATTCAGTGAACCTTGATTGTTTCAGCAATAATCTTTAAATGAAATAAAAACTTCCATTTGCTTAAAAATATACCTTATTTTGAAATTCCCTAAGTGACTTGTTGAATACGATTCCCAAATTCTCGTTACTATTACATGTATTATCCTTTCTGTCTAGTATATATTGCGCTACGAGTGAAAGACTAAATAAAACATAGCTTATCTCAGAAAAAAGGAGGAAAAACGATTCCTGTGGTATCTTTTTATTCTAATAATACGTTTGTGTCTCATCTTTTAGAACAGACGACACATGTAAACTCCCATCCGTTCCTATAGGGGGGGGGGGGCATTTCAGGCTTCCACATCGTCCCTCGACTAGGTAGAACAGATACCCATTATTGTTCTGCCGTCCACCAAATATTGCCTGAGGGTGCTGGTCCACACAAGAGTAAGTGGAGGCCGCCGGATGCAAGTACCTTCCTGTCATCAGATACCCGGAGTACTCCTTTCTCCAACCATTAAAACAGGTTGTTCTCGCTAGAAATAATCAAAAAACTTTTAAATTCTAAAGATCGCTCGGTTTTTTCCTTAAGTTAAGAAAAAAAAACTGTCTTTCTCGAACGAAGTTATACCGTATAACCTGGGTTTGGACTGTTTACGCTTTTCATACCCCGAAGTGTTTTATAAAAGAACCATAAACTGTTCTAATCCAGGTAATAACCTGGGTAGCTATTAAATTATTCTTAATAAAATTTTCTACGTGTATTATATAATGTAAAAGAAGACAAATTTCCTTTCAAAAATACCCTCAAATTGTACAAATTTTGAATGTAACGTCAAGAAGATAGATACTCATTACCGTCTTCCTTGGAAGACGGTATACAGAGTTGAAGTATTTTACAGTCTTCGGACTATGCACTTCCTCTCTTTTGTGATTGGTAGAAATTGCATGATGAGAAAATTTTCAATTATTTCATTGGTTGAAATGCTGTTCAAGGCAAGGGAGATAATTTTCTGATGATCTAATTTTCGTACGACTTAACAATTTTTCAAGATTTTCAATCGTAAAAAAAAATATGACAAAACGAACAGTGGAAATTGACAGTAATTTATTTGAAATAACATGCTAGCTTTTTATAGCAATTACTAAAAATGTTTTTATATTTTCATCGTTAACAGAATTGATCTTTATTGCATACAAGCTTTACAGCTTGTATGTATTCTTTTCCCCTTTGTTTTGCACTGTCTTTCTAATCTCGGTAGCACTCGGCAACACCTCGGCAGATTCGTACCTCATCTACATATCACAAAGGTGACAGAATCAGCCGAGGTTTGCCGAATGCTCTCTGCAGCAGAGTCAAAGTTTCCGGAGACAGCCGAGCATCTGTTAACTTTTCTCTTGGTAGGGCTTATGTCAGAAAAAAACTGATGAAGAAATACAAAGCCCAGAAATTTTCAAGAATTATACGGCCTGATAGGTTTAGGTCAGTTTACTGTTTGAGGTTGTTGCTAAAGACGGTAAGCTTTTTTGAAAAAGCTGTACTTGTTAAGACGAAAGCATCACCAGTCATAATGTGTAAACGAATTTACTTTCCAATCAAATGGCGCTTTACAACCAGAAGTGTATATGTCGTTTTGATCATTCAGATGCTTGTCTTTATCACGCTAACATCGCGATATAGTCGAAGCGTCTTGATGATCGAGACTAGTGTATGATAATGTGCTTAAGAATCAGCACCAGAACAAAGATGAGTCAGAAGTATTCTAGTATGTCATCTCGTAAAGTATGAACAAAATTATCTCGTTACCTGGAATAATAATGGCGGACTTCCCTTTTCGAGTCTCGCATACAGCACAAGGCACGTCGTTGTCATGGAGATTGGAGAGGATAATGTTTGTCGGAAGTTCATATTCAGCTCCGTAGATATATCCTCTGAAGGAGCTCATCCTGCTATCATGTCGTCCCCACTGAGGGTTTCTCGGTAAACAGAGTGGTTCTACCGCACCACCCTGATGGCCGTAATACGACCCACCAGCAAAGCCTAAGCAAATAAGTACAAATTTATTGCTTAAAAGAAATGTTGATCAAATTTTATAATTAATTTTACAACATGAAAGTGAAAAGTAAGGTGCAAAATTAGCTGTTTTTTATGGCTTCGAGCAAAGCACGATACAAAGGTGTCAGTCGATGTATCCACCAAAGAAAATAGTTCTTTTGAAAATGTTTACATACACCTAGTTCTCAGAGAAGGAATTAAACACCTGTAGGTAAGGAATCATGCACCTAGTTCTCTGGTAAGGAATAATACAGCTGGTTCTCTGGTACATGTAAGGAATTATATACCTGGATCTCTAGTAAGGGATCATACACCTGGATCTCTAGTGAAGAAGCATACAAATGGTTCTCAAGGAAGGAATTTCATAACTGGTTCTCAAGTAAGGAATCATACACCTGGTTCTCTGGTAAGGAATAATACACCTGGTTCCCAGCTAAGGAATCACATACCTGGTTTGCAGGATGGGATTCATACACTTTGTTCTCAGAGGAGGAATTAAAAACTACAGGTGCATTAATCCTTACCATATTCTTTACATGACTTGGGAACCAGGTGTATGATCCCTTACCTTGGATCAGGTGTATGCATAGTATGATTCACTTACCAGAGAACCATGTGTATAATTCCTAACCTGAAAATCAGGTTTCTAATCCACTTACCCGAGAACTAGGTTTATGTTTCCTCACATGAGAACTAGGTTTTTGATTCCTTACCTCAGTGTATAATTACTGACCTGAGTAGACCATTCTGGCTGTTCTTGGACACCTCTTGTGACCCCAGCGAGTATACACAGCTCCCCCTGGCGAGAAACACTTTACTTCTGGCACTGTGGCAACTGCCAGGATCAACACAACACACGAAAAGGAAAGGACCGTCATCTGAAAGTACGTGTATAGAAGAAATCCACTGAAATGATCACATATAAACAATCCTTATAGAAAAAAAGGCTCTCGAAAACTTCATCAATTCTTTTTAAAGAATGTTAATTATTGAAGAAGAAGATCCCGAGAGCATAGAAACGTTCATACCTGCAAACTTTTAAGTTGTGATGATGTTTATAAAAATAGCCAGCTACCATAAGGACAATGAAATTTAACCTTACCTTCAAATCTCAGAACAACAAGAGTTTTCACCAATTCGGCAAAGACCAGACTTTATATAAAAGTGAGTACCTTCTGTCACCCAATATTTCAATACACTCAAATATTTATTTTGACATGTAAATCAACATAGAGTACCTTCGAAAGCGTTTCTTGCATGATTAATTGATCAAATGGTATATTCATTGAATGATATCACTATAACATATATATGTACATGCAGTACTATATCAGTATGAAGTACTCGGTTGAATCCTCAAATATCAATCATTATGATAATTCTTTTTTCTGTATAGATTGCTTGTATACATGTAGATGTATACATGTAGATGTTCTCAGTCATTATAAACATCATTGTAAAAGGGTGCTTTTCGATGTTTCATTGCGGTCCCAACAACTGTGCTTTGGTTGTCTATATGAAAACCTGGAAGTTAATCGTATGATATTTGCATGGAAGTCCAAACCAGTTCTGTCTATCTGATGTCTCATTAACTCACTACTACTACTGCGTAGTTAATATGTGCTGTTCTTGAAATTGTTTTGGTTTTTTGTGCGTGTTTTGATTTTCTTGCATTAAAGATAATTTTGCGGTCATTTTTGCAAACATTATCATATTTTACACATTTCAATACAATCGGAGCATTTAGAATTGATTCCCTTGTGTGCATAATTGTCTTATATTTTCACCACCATTTTAATAAATCACACTATTTATTTTATGAAAATAATATAGTCGATATAGGTTCCAAAAATCATCTACTGTCAGTATGATACATGATACATACACTCTTCTCAAACCTTTCATACCAAAAAAATGTTATTTTTTGTTTTGACATCAACTGCCTTTTTAGTGAACTTCACAGTAGTGCCAACTATTGCTAAATTTTTTTTTGGTAAAGGCCATTCCTAGGTTTCTTTTGTATTTTCTTTTGAAATGAAAAAGGTGAGGATAACGAACAGAGATCGATCTTAAAGAATCTACAAACAATATAAATTTGGGAACAGGGCATAAAACAGTAATCATAAATCATATGCCATAAAACAGGGCATAAAACAGACATCTAATTAATGAATATAATGAATGACTCCAGGATATATTCCAGAGGTGGGATCAGGTACCTTGGAGGATGAGACATTCTCTGTCTACCGGACACACCCGCCGTGAGTCCGATGTATTGATCAGATAGACGGAAAATTCCGTATTCAAATCAAAGGCTTCACATTTGGTATGAAACACATCAGCCAAAATACGACACAATTATAGGTTATCTTTGGATAACAAGATTATTATAAAAACCATAGAATTAGAAAATGCTGACTTTAACGAGGTTGTTAAAACCCCTGTAACATCAATTTATCTGACAGTAGCTTGTCTTGGTTTGAAAATTAATCGTACTCAGAGCGTGCTCTTGAGTATCGAATACGTTGGTTGACATGAATACCGTATGCAGTTGATAGCGGAATATTACTATATTGATAAAGAAAGTTGACGATGAAAAATTCGAAGTCATCTCGTTTGTCATACAATTTACTTGTTATTAGGCCTTCATCGTCTATAGTCAATAAAACATCAAAATATGAAACAGATGTGGTAGACTCTGTGGTGTCTTTAAATTCGAGTTCACTGGGATATATTGAGTCTACTCCAGCATCCTTTTAATATGAACTTAAGAGTACTTCTGTGTAGAATCTGACTGTTTTTTTTGTTGATGACCAATCACAAGATATGGAAATTTAAGTGGCATTCAGGTGAAGTAAGCAATTAAGAAATAACACGATTTTTATTCTTGCAAATTGCAGTAAAGTGTATAGTTGTTTCATTAAACTGAGAGTCTATTAAAATAAAGTGATATTTGTATCACTAAACTGAGAGTCTATTAGAATAGAGTGAGTCGCCCGCGCGGCGAAGTGGTTAGAGTATTCGCTCTAGAGTCGCGGAGAAAGGAGCTGATCTTTAAGTCGCGGGTTCGAATCCCACTTTGGGACGTGGAGACCGGTCCTTCGGATGAGACCGTATAAACTGAGGTCCCGTGTTGCAGTAGGTGCTGGCACGAAAAAGATCCCTCACTGCTCAATGGCCCTGAGTGCCGAGTTTAAGTCAAAAATTTGCAGCTCTCCACCGGCAACTGGTGGCGTCTCCATATGAGTGAAAAATTATCGAGAGGGACGTTAAACAATAAAAACAAACAAACAATAGAGTGATATTTGTATTATTAAACTTAGAGTCTATTACACTAGAGTGTATATTTGTATCATTACACTGATAGTCTATTACAATAGGGTGATATTTGTATCATTAAGATTAGAGTCTATTACAATAGAGTGATATTTGTATCATTAAACTGAGTCTATTACAATAGAGTGATATTTGTATCATTAATCTGAGTCTATTACAATAGAGTGATGTTTGTATCACTAAACTGAGTCTATTACAATAGAGTGAAATTTGTATCACTAAACTGAGTCTATTACAATAGAGTGATATTTGTATCATTAAACTGAGTGTCTATTACAATACAGTGATATTTGTATCATTAAACTGAAAGTCTATTACAATACAGTGATATTTGTATCATTACACTGAGAGTCTATTACACTAGAGTGTATATTTGTATCATTACACTGAGAGTCTATTACAATAGAGTGATATTTGTATCATTAAACTGAGAGTCTATTACAAAAGAGTGATATTTGTATCACTAAACTGAGAGTCTATTACAATAGAGTGATATTTGTATCATTAAACTGAGAGTCTATTACAAAAGAGTGATATTTGTATCACTAAACTGAGAGTCTATTACAACAGAGTGGTATTTGTATCATTAAACTGGGAGTCTCTAAGAAGGCAAAAGATAATTCTTCTTCTCTTATTTTAACTCGAATTTTCTACACTCTATGAGATATATAAAATTCCTAAATGAAGAGAGACTTTCTAGACCCCCAAAAATTATGAAATGATGGTAATATTTTAGGAAACCTATACAGACAATTTTCTAGGTTCTAAATTATTGATTTTTATATCTCGGTATTTGTAAAAACGAGTAGATAAAAAAAAGAGTAGCTGATTACCGGAGACTCAAAAATATGCTGCATCGTTATGTTAAAAATTCCAATGCTGACAAGCAACTGAAAGTAGTTCTATGACTGTGTATGCTTAGCAAACATAAGTCAAATCAATTAAGTATCAAACAGATGTCATTACACATTGATTGCGTTTTTACTATCAAAATTCTTCTGAAAAAATTGAAATTTGGCAAGACATCTAATTAATGAATATAAACAGCATTCAAAATTCATTATTATGTCATATAAATTTAATTATTGAAAGGGAAGACCTCCAAAGATCATCTGGAGAGATAATAGTTATTGTAGTTTTTAACTGATTGTATGCTATTATATTGTACTTTTAGTTTAAATGATGTTGACAATGTGAGGATATATTTTCAAGATTTTTTAATTCTTACTATGGATCTCGATTGACAACGTTAATCAAAGAACTATATACTTTAAGAACAAATATCGCACCTAATAACGCATAGCATAGTGTGTTCTGGCGAAAAAGACTAATGAAAGTTATTCTTTGATTGTAGTAAATACATACACATTATAAATGTCCAAGAAGAATCGCCAAAAATAAAAGTAGTGGTTGATAAATAATGCTGAATGTTTACTGCATGCAATGTAATATCTCTTTCACCATTCACTGTAATTTTATGGTGAATTTTAATTCACTATAATATATATATATATATACTAGTAATATCTGGCCAAAGTAACAATTTCTAAATTTTTAACATTCACAATAATATAGATTTCATACATGCAAAAGTTAACTAATACTCTACGCACTTTCATGTTAGTTTTAGCTGTTGTAATTTAAAACAATTGCGTAGATTTACAAGTAAGTATATCAATATCACATTTAATTGGTTTTACATCAAAATATTCAAATTGGTGTATTTCACTTCCCTATTCTCAGCCTCCCTTTTCTATGTAGCAGTGTACCATTATGTCTTTCAATCAATCTCTTAGTTGATTCGATACACAGGAGCATGATCTGAATTCGATCAATTTCTACTCAAAGGCAGAAGGTTGACAAAAAGCTTATGTTACAGATTTTTGTATCAAATGTGAGCGTTTGGCAAATTCTGTGGTTGTTACAGTAACATTATAGCAAATACAAGTCATTGAATCGAATGTTGACTGGCGCTTTTCATAAGATTTTGGACCATTGTTTTCATACCAATTTTTCTACGCATGACTCTGCTTGGGTGGCTCACTGCGGGTGTGACCGGTACACAGGGAATGGTTGCTACTTAATGGCACCTGATTCCACATCAGGTGTTTCTGGGATCCCTTTTTGCCCAATGATTTTTTCAAATATAACATGATTATTTTCATTCCAATTTACATTAAAGCTATATTTATATTCATGTAATGATTGATTATTTTTCTTTTTAACATCAGGTTCGATCCCATTCATGATGCTCCGGAATGATCGGGACTAACGAAAACGATTTGCTTTTTTTTTTTTTTTGCATTCTGCTTTTTTAATAAGTTATCACAAGTTAATTATTCTCTATCTTTAAATTAAGTTTAGATTGAATAATTCAGTAATGAGCAAGGGGTTTGTTCGAATATTAAACGATTGTTAGTAGTCAGATTCATTATGAATGCCAGTAACTTGGATCCGCCACTCGTGACCACCACCATACTCTCTATTTCGCTATTTCATGGTTGTTTATTGAAAACGAATGTAGAATTTTCATTGAATTTGCGATAATGAATATCTAAAATCTAAATTTTAAGAGATCTATAATCTAAATTTTACGGACATCATCTTATACCTAGTGTGATATTAGAGGATTATGTTTGTTTGTTTGTTGTTTAACGTCCCTCTCGAGAATTTTTCACATGGAGATGCCACCACTTGCCGATGGAGAGCTGCAATTTTTTTTAATAAATACTCGGCACTCAGGGCCATTGAGCAGTGAGGGATCTTTTTCGTGCCAGCACCTACTGCGATACGGGACCTCGGTTTATACGGTCTCATCCGAAGGATCGGTCTCCACGTCCCACAGTGGGATTCAGAGAATTATGTAAGAACTCTGCTGCAATTTAACCTTTTGGAGTTTATTTGCAAATTTTAATAATTTAAAACATCTAAATAGTCTATTTTATCGCACACGTTGGGCAGTGCGATCATTAATAAGAAATATGTAGCATTTGTCTACGAACTTTATGGACAATGATCGAATAAGTTCATATGTTTGAAACATGTTCATTATCATTCATTTTATTAGTCCCCTACCGGTTTCCCCTGATTCTGTCCGCCGGTCTGTCTGTCAGTCTGTCCCACTTGGTTTTCCGCACTTTTTTCTAAAGTGCGGAAGTTTTGGTATGTAAGTGTATATTAATGAGTTACAGATCAAGTTTGAATTTCGTTCCGCGTCATTGATTTTTGAGGGAATTACGGAATTTTTTATTTTTAAGGGTTTTCCGCACTTTTTTTTCTAAATGCTTGCAGATATTGAGCTGAATTTTGGTATGTGAGTGTATCTTGATGAGTTACAGATCAAGTTTGCATTATGTTTCGCTTCAATGATTTCTTGACGGAATTACAGCATTTTTAATGGAAAGCAGATTACACTTGCCGGCAGGGGACTAGTATTGCTAATGTAATACTCTCAGTATGCTTGTTCATATTGCTTGTTTTTATGGTGAACATACATGTAAATAATGAGCAACTCTTTTACAATGTCTGACACAAAGATTGCTCGATATATTTTTATTGCAATGCTAAATGATAAAGTGTCTCAGGCTTTCGAACACACAACACAGGTAATCTCCCATCCGTTGTGGTACGGCGGACATTTCAGGCTACCACAGCGTGCTTCCACCAGGTAGAACAGGTACCCGTTATGGTTTTGATGTCCACCCACCGCAGGCTGGGCGTGTTGATCCACACAGGAGTAGGTGGAGGCAGCCGGGTGAGTATATCTACCAGTCATCAGGTAACCCGAGTATTCTTTTCTCCAACCCCGATAACAGGATGTTCTCGCTTTGAATTAAGGGAATATAATAATAAAAAAAAAGAAAACAGGCAAAATGAGGTTATAAGACAGAGTATTGATTCTATGTCGAATAACGAAAAAACTTCTATGAGAAAAAATAGAATGAGGCATGGTAAGTAAAGGAATCCTGTGAATACAACATTACCAATGTCACCAAAAAATGAAAAATGGTGGCCTTATCTGTTGAGACTATAAATTATATCAAAATAAATAGATGGTCACTAAACAATTGAATAGTTTTACTTTATAACAAAACTCAAATGCAATTGCGGGTGTTTTTCTTAAAAAAAGTTTCGAATACATGTGTCAAAATACAAACAAGGACGGAAAATGAATAGATAACTATCCTATAACCGCCTTTTTTCAGGAAAGAAAGGAGTGTTTGGTGGGTATCAGAATCATATGGATAAAAAAAAATGCTAATGTATGTATATGGATTACAATGGTAAGATCTAGAAATAGATACATTCGTCTTGCAAAACCTGATATTCTTGATTGATTTATCTCTTATCGTTTATTTTTTTAATTTCCTGGAAAATTTTCTTTCGATAAGTATACAGTAATACTTTCTACGTTTCCTTTTGGCTTATGGAAATAAAATATCATTATTTCAATATTTTAAATTTCAAGTTGCTGTGAAAAACGGATCATATACATATATTTTTAAACTTATACATTTACATTGACATTTATTTTACTATATTAGATATGAGCAAAAGCAAATGAAATTCTGCATTCTTTCGATATCCACTGATGTAATCATCTTTACTCACCTGGAATAACTATTATGCCTTTCCCTCTGCGAGTCTCACAGACGGCACAAGGCACATCTTGGTCGTGAAGATGAGAATGGATGACGTCACGATGAACTTCGTATTCAGCACCATAGATGAATCCTCTAGGAGCATCTGTTCTTCCGTTATGGCGTCCCCATTGTGGGTGTTTAGGTAAACAGAGTGGCTCCACTGCAGCTCCACGATGTGAATAATGAGATCCCCCAACAAGACCTTCAAAACATTTAAATACAAGAAAAGATTATCATTTGTTATGGAATGGGCATTGAAAGTTTAGTTATTATGGGCAGAAAGGCGTCTTCCTGTATTTGGTTAATAAGTTTGATGCAAAAAAAAAAAATATTAAAGCATTCAATTCGATTCTGCTCTAACAATGTAAATGGCTTAAGAAGAAGGTATGGTTTAAGCTTTAATGTGCCCTAAAAATTTAATGCTTTCAAAAATTTTGAAACTGTCTTAAATATTAGTTGAGTATATGACTGTGATAAATCAGGAAAGAATATGGCATGAATGAGTACCATTCTGGAAATATGACGTCATTAATTTGATGCATTTCTCTATTTTAAAAAGAAAAAGCCTCAAAATGACCAATTTCAAGGGTTATTTTCCTCAAGAAAATAGGGTCAGCAGCCGTCGCCGCCCACTTTGATTTTCGGATATGTTGTGTAAAATTCTTTAAAAAATCACATATTTCAAAATCTTTATGGGCGATGCCTGTGGACAATACTATCTGAAAGAAAATTCCATTGAAAATTGGTGTCTTCTGGAACTTTTTAAGAAAATACGGGAAAAATATACAAGTTTATGACGTCACAATCAGCATTTAGAAGGTCATGTGGGATAAATGATTTATATATGATCTTTCTGCACGGAAATTCAATGATTCAAAAAGCATGAGTTTTATTTATTTTTTTTTTTTTTTACATCACTTTCATTTTTAAGAAAATCACAGGGCCAGATTTGTATTGAAACTGTACCTTATTCTTAATTATAGAGTTTTGTAAAGAAACGGTTTAACATTTTGATATCACGCATACCGTGGATTTCTTGCACCGGCAAAGTCATGACAAAAACGTAGGAAAGTATAATTTGTCAGTTTAGTTGCGTTTCCAAGCAATTCTGAACATACTATCTACCTGCGTAAATTAATCTGGCACTTCTGGGGCACTTGTTGTGACCCCATCGAGTATACACGGATCCCCCCGCCGAGAAACAACTGTCTACATGTTGAACAATGGCCACACACAGGATCAACACCACGCCAAAAGAGGAGACCATCTTAACGCTTATGAAAAATGAACAAATATGGGTTTATCTTTACAATAACAGAGATTGTGTTTCTGTTATAACTTTCAGTTATACATTATTAGCATTTAGATAATAAAAAAAATTCAAGAGTGCTTTATTGACATCAAAGTAGTTGATTGATGTAAAGTGTTGAAGAAAGAACAAAATTTTTTAACTGATGCTATTATAAAAATACTTCTAAACGATTTTTTAATCCAAGTATTCTTACCTTCAGCTTCAGTGTAGTTTGATCTTTGTTGACCAGGGTAGAATGGAATTGTTTTTATAGACAAGACTTCTCCTTCTGTTACATTTTGTTGCCTCAGTATTTTTTAATATTCAAACATCATAAATTGACAGATGAAGCAATATTTCAATTTTTTGTGTGATCAATTGACTAACATGTTCATTAATATGCCAATTTTATTATAAATGATTTACATCTTTGTTGAAAGTAATAATCGTTTAAAAGTAATAGGTTCTGAAACTTCTTAATTTTTAATACAATCATCCTGAAATAGTTCGTCAGTGTACCTCTCAATGGAAGTGGTAGAAATTCTCCATTAAAATATCTTTAAACCACCCTGTAACATAAGTTTTGTGGCTCTGGGTGTACAGTGTCGTCAGTTTCATAAACAATGTCCAAAAAAAAAATCTGCCACTTCAGCGGCTCTACTGTCAATTACTCATTTGCATTATTTTGTTATTTCCTACAGAAATGTATTCAAAATTACCAAAGGATATGTTATCGTATAAGTGGAATTTTTAGCGAGACGCAAATTTAGCGACTCTCTTTAAGAATTAAATATTTAATTTTAGCGATTTTGTGGTGCATAGAAAAATAACGATAATTTCTAATGAGTAATTAATTGTTAGCGATATTTAATTTTAGCGATCTCAACACTCTCTCTAAAATAATTAATTGCCAACATTTTATCCTCGCTAAAATTTCTGCTTATACGGCATGTTAACCTTAAAACAGAATAATTATTTGAAAGTGTATGTTTAGCTATGAATTGATGGTTGTGTTTCATTCATATATGGTATCAGGCCAATACTCGGGACATGCTCTTGCTATCAAATCAGATATGACATAAATACCATATGAAGGAGATACTGGACTATTACTAAATAAATAAGGTAAGTTGAAGGAGGAAAAGCTTGTAATCTCGTTTGTACATATAATTAATTTCTTATCAACGTCAATAGTTAGTAATGAATCTTGAATATTCGTAGTGTATCTTATTTAGCATTTACTGGCATACATGTATATCGAATCGACATATAAATGAAAATGGCTATTGTTAATTGAAACAATGTGTTCGCTATTTCTAAATGTCATACAGTTATTACAAGGTTTTTTTTCATCTCAAATACATTTTTCTTAATAAAAATTGTAGATGAATAAAGGATCATAAATTCCTAGATCGTAGGATTCTAAGAATTTAATATATATTTCAACTAGGAACTCCATTTAGTATTTTAATATTAATTTCAGGATTCTTTTGTGTACAATCAGAATGATTATTGAAGAAAAAGTTGCCTATAATGTCAAAAAGTCTGGTTCTATTTTAGAAATTTAATTATCCAAAGGGAAAAACCTCCAAAAATCATCCTGAGAGATAATACTGGTAGCTATTGTAGTTTGAGACTGGTTGTTTGAAATTATATTGTTTTTTTTTTTGTTTTTTTTGTTTGTTTTTTTTTGTTTTGTTTTGTTTTGTTTTGTTTTGTTTTTTTGTTTTTTGTTTAAATGATTTTGACAATTCTAGGATATTTTCAAGATTTTTTATTCATACAGTGGATCTCGAATAACAACGTTAATCAAAGGACCATACACTTTAAGAAGAAAACTTGAACTTAATAACTCATAGTAAAGTTATAACATTATAATTGTCAAAAGAGAATCGCCAATAATAAAAGAAGCGGTTTATAAATAATGTTGAATGTTTCCTGCATGCAATATAATCTGGCCAAAGTAACAATTTTTCAATCTTTCACATCCACAACAATATAGACTTCATGTAAGTAAAAGTGAACTATTCCTCTCTTCCCTTTCATGTTAGTTTTAGCTGTTGTAATTTTGAACAATTCCTAGATTTACAAGTAAGTATATCAATATTACATGTAATTGGTTTTACAGTCAACTAATTCAAATTGGTGTATGACTTCACTTTTCTATTGTCAGCTTCCCTAATCTATGTAGAAGTGTACCATTATCGCCCATGTATTGTGTTTTTTCTTTCAATCAAGCTCTTAGTTGATTTCGATACGAAAGAGCATGAACTGAATACGATCAATTTTTAACCAGTGGCAGGAGATTGACAAAAAGCTTATGTTACAGAAGTTTGTGTAAAAGTGAGTATTTCGCAAATTTTATGGTCGTTACAGCGGCATTATAGCAAATACAAGTCATTGAATCGACTGCTGATTGGCGTTTTCCTACAGCTGTTGGACCATTGTTTTTGTACTAATTTTCTACGCTTGATTCTGCTTAGGTGGCTCAGTGCGAGTGTGACCGGTGGACAGGGAATGGTTGCTACTTAATGGCACTTGATCCAAAATCTGGTGTTTCTGGGATCCCTATATGGCCTGCTCTTGATTTTGCATTGTTTATGGGATTTTGATCTTGATTTCTGTTCGATAATTTAAAGTTTTCATCTGTGTAAATTAGAAATACATTTTGCATATTTTTTAAAATAAAATCGAGACTAAAATTCTTCATAAAATGCAAGGATCTGTTCTTGTACTCATATGAAGAAGAATATATTCAACAACTTCCACACGAGAAGAAGAAATCACTTGCTGTGGCCTTCAACTCGACTTCAGATATATCGAAGAAGTTTTATCAGTTAACAATAGTTACTTTCATTCATATGTCATCTCGATATATCTCAGTGAACTCGAAATAAAAGACACCACAGAATCTGCCACATCTGTTTTTTCATATTTGGATGTTTTACTGACTATGGACGATAAAGGCCAAGTAATAACTAAACTGTATGACAAACGAGATGGCTTCAGCTTTTTCCATAGTCAACTTTCCATATAAATGAAGTAATATTTCGCCATCATCTGCATATGGTTTTATTTCTCCCAACTTATTTGATAATAAAGAGCATGCTCTGAGTACGATCATTTTTTAAATTGAGGCAGGCTACTGAAAGTTGATGTTACAGGGATTTAAACAACCTTGTTTACAGTCGGCATTTCTTGACTTCTATTGTCGTCAAAATAGACCTTGTTAGCAAATACAACCTATCATTGGGTCGTATTTTGTTGGACATATTTCATACTTGCTTGTAGGCCTTGTGTTTTATACTTAATTTGAGTACGGAATATATTCCGTCTAACTGATCAGTACTAGGAGGAGTAAGCAATCTGTCGACCGGTCACACCCACCGTAAGACCTATGTTAAAATTGAGAATGGAGGTATGTGCACACGACTTTTACTGCACATATTTGAAACAATAACATATTCATTTATTGGCATTTTCTCTTGACATGTAACCAATTATATTTTTGATGCTTGTTTTTGTATACATATTGTTCTTCGGGTTCTTTTCTATGATGCTCTGTTTACATTTCCATCTTATAACGACAACTCAATAATAATCCTTCAATATATACATATTTTCACTATCTATAGTTTTATCAATGTTATATGTTATTTTCAGGCCAATTTACATTAAAGCTATATATACATGTAATGACTGATAAATTTTCTTTTGAACATCGGGTTCGATTCTATTTTAGACGCTCCTGAAAGATCGGGGACTAACGAAAACGATTTGCACAGTTTGCTTTTTAATCAGTTATTACAAGTTAATTATTCCTTAAATTAAGATTAAATTGAATCATTCACTAATAGGTTATGACGTTCGTTCAAATATTAAACGATTGTTAGTGGTCAGTTTCATTATTAACTCCCAATAACTTAGATCCGCCGATCGTGACCATCACTGCACTTCATATCTTACTATTTCAGGGTTGTTTATCGAAAACGAAAGTATAATTTTAATCAAATTTGTTTGTTGTTTAACGTCCCTCTCTAGAATTTTTCACTCATATGGAGACGCCATCACTTGCCTGTGGAAATTTACAAATTTTGACATATACTCGGCACTTAGGGTCATTGAGCAGTGAGGAATCTTTTTCGTGCCAGCACCTACTGCGACACAGGACCTCAGTTTATACTGTCTCATCCGAAGGACCGGTCTCCACGTCCCGCAGTGGGATTAGAACCCACAACGTAAGGATCAACTCCTTACTCCGCGACTCTAGAGCAGACGCTCTAACCACTGCGCCACGCGGGCGACTTAATCAAATGTGATAACTAATATGCAATTGAAATCTCAATATAGTTTACGGACATCATCTTAAATTTATTATATTAGATGCTTAATTAAGAACTCTGGTACAAGCGTTTCGGATTTTATTTGCAAATTTTAATAATTTAAAATGTTGACAGTGCCGACAGTTAGAGCGAGCGCAGTTGTGTAATACTGGATATATAAACTTTCGCCTCTTTAAACCGCACGAGACATTTGGGCGTCTTATCTGTGACGTCACATGACGTCGATTGTTAGCTGCATAATTTCTATAAACGAAGTTTGAAAAGTGCATAATGCTAACAAAGAATGTTTAATCTATTACATGTATTATCTACGTGTATATGCAATATCTATTAATTCAAGGTGAGTTTATTTTTTGTGAATTTTTAATTAAGCGAGATGCATTCGAGTTGCATATTTGGTTTCGAGGTAACTGCGGAAAAAAAAATCATTTGGATCAATAGGTAAAGTCAGAATTTTCTCTTCTCCCACGCGTTGTCGTTAGAGGTCGCAGGGGGAGCAGCGCTTCGCATCGCTGGCTGCGCTCGCTATAAGCACCTAATTGGTCTATTTGAAAATAATATGTTAGACGGTGCAACCTTTAGTGAGGGCGGAGCCAGCAAGAGAACATATCCATATTTTATTGTTTAATGATAAATCAGTGTTAAAATGTAATTGTAATCAGTGTCAGAAAATCATAACAAAGATCTTAGTCCTTTTAAAAAAAAACAAAACATTCTTTTACCTCAAACACTTTTCATCCAAATAACGAAATTTCAGGGTATCTGGTAAACTTACAGTACACTATGATGTTTCATTAGGAGTTGCCTAGCAAGAGCACTCAAAATCAAATAGCATAACGGGAAAAGAGAGAGTACGTGCAGTGGACCAGTCATGGATTCAACCTACCCA